TCTATCTCAGATTTCATTGTTTTACTCCAAGTTTGCGATATCAAACTTATTCCTCTTAGGCTTGGGCTTGGGCTGCTGGGTTGATATCTTAATTGCTGTTGGGCTGATTTATTTTGGAACTTTTTTTACTATATTCTTAAGGGAAAAATTCATATATAAGATCTACCCTATATACCATTTTAAAAATAAGAAAACAACTTAAAATTTCTAAAATCAGATATTTTAATATATATACATACGTGTATTTATATATATAAAATATATATATATAGTTAACCCACCCCACCTCCACCACCCCTATCGCTCCGAGGACTACTCCGATTCTGGCGATTATTCCGGCGACCGTTCGGCGACTTCTCCACATGTAACCTGTTAATATTGATTTTTGGTCAGAACATTTTTATAGGTCACACGGCCACAGACTACCAAAATAGTTGGTCACATATTTTTTCACGGTCATAGATTATATAATTTTTAGGTCATAGATAACAAAATTGTTGGTCACGGATTATATTTTTAGTTACAGAAGGTCACAGATTTCCAAATTATTTGGCCACAGATTTTTACGGTCACAGATTATATAATTTTTAGGTCACAGATAAAGAAATAGTTGATCACGGATTATATTTTTAATCACGGGTTATCGAATTTTAAGTTCACAGATTATATTTTTAGTCACAGATAACCAAAATAACCAGATCCACCACCACGACCTCAACACTATCGCCACGACCACTACCACCGCCTCTACGACAACCAACATCACCACCACCCAAACACCACGACAATCGATAGTAACATCGCCATTTCCAAAACCACCACAAAAAACCACCAGATCCGCCACCACAGTTACAACCACAAGCCTCGTTTTCTCGAGCCATGGAAGTTCCCAATTTCAACGAGCTAACAAAGGGTTTAATAGCCCCAGAAGACGCAATCAAATCCGTATTTTCATCACAGTGTAACAAATTAAGAATGGTCGTGACTCCATATTTCTGTAATTGAGCATCATTAGACAAAATTATCGATACAAGCGGTTTAATGGCGCTTGCTCTGGCGATTTTAATTTGATTCTCTGATTTGTTCTTCGCGAGCAACCTGATTCCCATGGTTGCTTGTTTTTTATCATTTGTGTCATCGGACAGGAGGTCAGAAACTAGTTGTGAAATCAACTCCTCGGAATTATCAGAAGAGTAGGCGAGTAACAGAGGTGGCTTTGAGACGAAGACGCCGGAAACTCGCCGAATCTATCATTGTTGCAGAGAGGAGAGTGAAAATGTTTTGATTAGGGTTTGGGAAATTATATTATGGTGGTTTGGGTAATTATATTATGTAATAGTTGTATGTCATTAAAAATATCTGACTTCGGAAAAATAAAACTTCAAATCTGATTTTAGAATATAGATCTTGAAAAGTAGGGAATTGTGTAATTCCCACTATTGTTAATTGGATATTAGTTGGGCTAAAGTAGTTGGGCAGAATTTAATTTGGTTGTAATTAATTTTTGACGGGACTGTATACAGTTTCATCATGTCAATTGAGAAGAATGAGCCAGTTTGCCTTCGCTTTACTGGAAAAGATTATTTTTCATGGGCCTCTCATTTTCAATTATTGGTTGAAGGCAAAGATGACTTGTGGGGACATATTGATGGAAGTCTCCCGCCTGCTTATCACAAGAAGGATAATGAGAAGTATCTTGCCCGAAAAACTAAAGATTCTCGGATTATGGCTTGGATCATTGGATTGGTTGATGTGCAGATTATTCTTAATCTCAAGCCTTGTAAGTCAACTCATACTATGTAAGTGTTCTTCAAAAAAGTCTACACTCAAAGCAATATTGCTCAACGACTTCAGTTGGAATTTGAATTGGCATATTTTTCTCAAGACTCGTGTTCCATTGAAGAATATTATTCGGGTTTTACTAATCTTTGGGTTAAACACACAGATATCACCTATGCTTCGGTCTCACCTGACAAGTTGGAGGCTATCACAATTGTGCAAGAAGTCACCAAGAGGGATCAATTTGTGATGAAATTGTGAACTGAATTTGAATCTATTAGGTCCAGTCTTATGAATCGTGAATCTATTCCAACCTTGGATGGTTGTTTGGATGACTTACTAAGGGGGGATCAGCGTCTTATCACTCGTACCTCTTTGTAACAACAACAAAATTATGAAGCACCAGTTCCAATTGCATATGTGGCTTAAGGGAAATTCAAACCTCATGATATGTCTAGTGTGCAGTGTTACAACTGTAAGGGGTTTGATCACATGGTTCTTCAGTTTAGTTTGTCTATTATTTTCGAGTAAAAAATCTCGTCCGAGCATTTTAGTTTGTCTATTTCATTTGAGAAGAATACAATCAATACTTTGGTTCAACACGCAAGGTTGGTGTAATGCAATACCGACTTTGAAAGAAACATTGTATCTTAGGAGACAGACGTCCAATAAACATGTTTGCACCAGCGCACAAGTGAAATTTTCTACGGCATACCTCATTTCATCTTCATTTCTACTTTTTCTTTCTTTTGATTGTATGAGTCATTAATTTGACAACATTTCTTTTTTGCATCCAAGAAGAAGCTCAGATCCAATTGGAAACTTGCTACCTAAGATGTTATCTTATGACTTCAGCAATCTTCACCATTGTTGTACTGTGCTACATTAAGATGTTACTAAGTTGTCTAGGCATTGCTTCCTAGAAACTAGGGGACTATAGTTAATGAAAGGGAGACTATATAAATATAAAATAACATTCCATAATTACCTCTTCAGAATTTCAATGTTACTAATTTTCACTCGGGTATTTTTCAGAATTTTATATGTATATGAAGTTTCAATTTCAATAGTGGGTAGCAATCAAATTGAAATGTCCGGGCCATCTCAAATCAGTGCATATACTGAAAATTACCTCAGATTGTTTTAATTTTTTGACTTTTTGGTAGTTTCACTCTTAAATCAATTCAACCATTTTTCCTACAAGATATTATCCACAAAATATGTGAAAATCAAATTAAAAATTAAAATATGCTCAAAAAAAATCTCCATCCATACAAACTATCTTTAATTTTAGGCTACCAAAAACAAAATCAAAAATTAGTTGACCCAATTGATCCCTACCAATGATTCTGGCAAACAAAAAATTTGATCAAACAATTTACCCCTACAAGTTATTTCCGCAAAATGATATGGGTTTTCGTCTACCAGAATTCATTTCACTACGTTCATAACAGTTAGTAATAATGCACTTTAGCAATTCACAGTGACAAGATTCTTATTAAAGATGAGGTATTCAATAACAATACCCAGTGGCAACAGCAGACGTTTTTGGCAGTAACCATAGTATATGACCCCTCTTTGACAACATAAACATACTTTTGTTCGAGATGTAGATTGTTGCAGACTTGCAGAGCGGAGACATATACTTTTGTTTTGTTTTTGAGTTGACAATGAAATCCTAACTCGTGTAATAAAAGAGACTTTAAAAGTACGAGCACAATTAAAAGCAAGAAGTTCCCTTACTAATTTAGGGTTGTACAAGAATGCCTGTACACGGAACAAAAAGATAATGCATATGGGGCTATTGTCCCAATTTTTGTTCAGTTTTTGTTATTCTTTAAATCAAATAGTCTTCCATGTTTAGTTTTATTGATATTCCCACAAATCAACAGGAAATTATAAGATGTGTTTGAATTTGTTGGTGCGTTTATAACATCTTTATGGTTAGTGAATTTCAGTAAATTATTTGTTCACATCAACAAAAATTTCTAGTGTTTCTCGTTTACAGGACACAACAAAATCAATATGAAATTTCCAAAATCCTTATGGAACAAAATTATTAAAGATTCGAAAAAATTTCCAACAGAATACCAATATAAACATGTCTCGCCGTGGGAATGTCTCCCTATGTTGAGAGCTTGAGGCCTTCCAAAGTCAAGAAATGAAAGGAAACATAATTCATTTATCATTGATAATTCAATATAAACTATGATTTTCTGAATTATTCGGTTATTAATTTGATTGTTTGCAATTTTTGGCACTTGGCTTTCTGTTTTAATGCTCTGTTAGATCTTTGATTCACAAGCAATAGGAATAAAAAAAGGATCTTTGATTCACAAGGTGTTTTCATATAGAATACCATTATAAATGTTAATTTGGGTGTGATCCGAATTCATTGTTGAAGTAATTGAAGTGCACGTCAAGAATAATTCAGTTTGGGATGTTATTAGAGTCCTATGTTAAGTTAGAGTTTTATTTTGGAAGCCCATTGGGAGTTAAATTTTGTTTTGGACTCAATTTTTTGGTATCTCACTTCATCAACAACTCTATTAGGAGGGTTTGGATATCCCCTACATGTTCCTTATAAATATTAGGCTCTTCTATACAATTTTATAATGTGAGAAAAAAGATTACTAGAATTATAAGATCCATTGTAATTTTCTCTCTTCTCCATTATTCTCGAGTCAATAAAATCTCTTAATTTCTCTACCATATTTCTTGTCTTTATTATTTTTTTGCTTGATCAATACTTCATTATTTTCCATTTCAGGTGGTTGGTTTTATCAAGTGGTATTCAAACAATACATAATTCTTGTATTTTCGACGTTGCTAACAACGATTCGGGAATATTAATATTTCTTCTAACAAAAGATATTTTGGTTATTTCGTAACAAGTGGTATTAGAGCGATTTTGATATCTTGTTTGTTTCATAACAAGTGGTATCAAAGNGTAATGATATCAAGATTTTCTTACACAGCAACAACTCACAGCAGATTAACCAAATGCATAAAACCTCAAAAAATTATTTAGTCACCAAACAAAGTATGTTTTAATGAGTAGTCAATATGACGGCTGGATTCTACGATAATTAAAATTAAAAATAATTTTTGATTTCATTAATAAAATTTTAGCTCAAATATTGACCTTTTTGTGTTCTTACGAGATAGAAAAAGCAAATCTTATTAAGAAACAAACCTCTTCTTCTTAATCCACCTCAGTATTATGCTTTACAAAATTCAGTTTTGATCTTCTCGAGCCTTGTTAGAACATCTTTCATATTGAGCCTCTCGTTGGGCCAATGAACCGTGCATTCTAGTGCAAGTCCCATGATTGATCTAAAGCAGCTCTCTTTGGCTCCAATATTCTCTTGAACTGCATTCATTAGATCAACATCCACTATCTGCATTATTATAGCATCTGGGAATGATTCGAACCCCCATTTCCTCATTGTGAACTCTTCAACAAACATATCATATGTTGGCTTCTTTTTGGTAAATGTCTCCACGAGCATAATCCCATAGCTATAAACATCCACCATAGTCGATATTAATCCAGTAGATCCATACTCAACAAAATTGGTATATGTGACCAAACTAACAAGTGAAATGAGAAATGACAAATAAATAAATGAGAACCAATACTAATACACTAAAATTGTTAGCATGCAAAATAATGGTTAATAATTACGTGTACACTACAAGAAAAATAGCCATTTGCAACACTAAAAAGACAACATTTGTTGATAAATGTTGCTAAAAGGGTCTTTTGGCAACATTTTGGTAAGTAAATGTTGCCATTGATTAATATAAATGAGTTTTTGCAACGTTTTTTAGAAAAATGTTGCGATAGACCCCTTTTTGCAACGTTTATTGAGTATTGCGGAAGAATTTTCTTTTGCAACGTTTGAAAACTAAATCTATCAGATTAACCCAAACCCAACCCTTATATTCGGTCCTCCCCCTCCATTCATCGAAAATGGCTCTTCTCTCTCAAACCTACACAAACCGGAACCCAATCAATATCCTCTCTCACCACCATTCCAACCCCGCCCTCTGCCTCCCCTCCGCCCATAACCGCAACCTCCTCGCCCTCACAAAACCCAAAGTCTTCTCTTTTACTGCAAACCCAAAACCTTCAAAATCAAGAATCTCGGCCTCCGTTTCAGCACTAGCAGGGGCGGTTTCTGGTGGTGGCGCTGCC